TGTGTGTGTATATATATATATATATATATATATATATATATATATATATATATATATATATATATATATATATATATATATATGTATATATATATATATATATATATATATATATATATATATATATATATATATATATATATATATCTATCTATCTATCTATCTATATATAATATATATATATATATATATATATATATATGCACACACACACACGCATATATATGTGTGTAAGTGTGTGTGTGTCTGCGCGTGTGTGTGTGTGTATTTATGTGTATGTGTGTGTGTGTGTGTGTGTGTGTGTGTGTGTGTGTGTGTGTGTGTGTGTGTGTGTGTGTGTGTGTGTGTGTGTGTGTGTGTGTGTGTGTGTGTGTGCGTGTGCGTTTGTTGACCGACTTATTCATACATCTACATGTATCGAGCTATCTAAGCAAATGCGCTTTCAAGCGTGTGCATGCATATGTATGTTACGTTGAAACTTAATCTTGTTTTGCCTCTACAAATCTGTATTTAAATTTTTACCTTTTTTTTCTTAACGTTACACTAATAGTATAAAAACGATTTTTTATTTTAACATCTAACACGCAAACATAGCCTCAAGCAAAAAAAGAAAAGAAAAAACAAACAAACAAACAAACGCATTAATGCTACTGCTTTCATTAAACAAACAAACAAACAAAGAATCCTCTGCTATTAGGAGGCAATACAAGTGCGAGGGGAAAATACTTGCCTTCCGTTCCGTTAGAGGAAAGTTTTGTGCCTTACGAAGAAAATTTTAGAAGGGAACTGTCTGTTGCGTTGCGTTGTCGCTTCATTTTCGTGTGCTAGTATTTATAAGAGTCTTGTATTTATCTTTATGATACATTTCATAACTAGTCCAGACTTGCGTGTCAAAAATCATGCTCTCGTTAGCATTCTATGTTTAGCTGAATGTGTTATAAAATACAAGTCATGATGACTTCACTAGCAATCTGTTGATCATACAAGTTCATCAGGCAAAAATCTACATGGTATAATATTCCTTGCCATTCTTCACTATATGTTTGTTAACAATGTGCGAGTCGTTTGCTAGGCGTACCATCCCTCCCGACTGTCGCGTTTGTGCGACACACGAAGAATTCAAGGCTCGGGCTATAGCCGTTCCGTTGAAATTCAGCGTTTGATAGCGCCACGAAGTACTAAACGGAACGCAAGGCTGTAATGCAAAAAGAAATTCACAAAAATACTTCAAATGTAAAATGGCAGCGTTAGAACGGGATTGCTAGTTGCTCATGCAATAACTTTATTATACAGTGGAAATTATAAGGTCCTCCTTCAGTACATCGAAGTGTTTTGCCAATAATATATACCTACTAGTGGAGAGGATAAGTTGTTAAGAAAATGCTGAAAATGAAAAGAAAGTCTGATTTCATATTCTATGGAATGGCTTAGATTATATATTGTGTTGCAAACATCAGAAGGGTAGACCACTCTGCAGGACTGAAAGCCTTCAACGCCTTCAGTTCGAACTTATATCGCTCCCGCTGCCACTCGGTTCATGCTACTATTTTTATAATTTGCCCGGATTTGTGGATTACAGAATTTAGTTACTACGAAAACAAGAAGCAATAAAGAACTCTAAGAAATCATGTGATCAACACGTCATTTTTCCTTGTTAGTATTAGTTGTTTGACACCATTTTGAAGGGGATTTATAGGAAATAATCTGATATACTTAAAGGGTCCCTTTTTCGACGACCTGGTTATCAAAATAAATAAAGTTATAAGATATATTAGAATATTGATATCCTGTTTCATTTAAACCTCAGTTATGATTAGGGGCATTTAATGTATATCATTACCTCGTTTTACTTCTGATCACTATTAAGAACAGTCATCATTGATTATTGATTTTAACAAGGTTCTGGCGTGGCCTACATCATTTTCACTAATTTGCATTACATGTTAAGCATGCATAGGCATTAATTAAAACACCCACTCACATGTGGAAGTAAATGGTTTCAGGGGATATTTTTACTGTCCTATTTTCAGTTTTGTAAAGTTATTTACATGTTTACCTTTTTGTACTATTGCTGGATAATTGGCTGTCCTTCTGTATGTATTGTCATTACATTAAAAAAATATATATTTTCTATTTGGAAGTAAAAGTGGAAATTGTTAATTAAGAGTGATACCATAGCTATCTAAGCGCCCATGTGCATGTGCGTGCATGTAACCTCCTAAACTACTTCTATAAGTGCGTGTAAAGGGGAAAAAAAGAGAAGGCGATTTAAGTTGATAAGGGTAGAGTGATGTGATAAATAGATAAATAAGATAGAGACAAATAGACAAACAGAGAGAGGAAGACAGTGACTGAGAGACAGAACGAAAGAGAGGAATGAACATGGCCATGGTATGACCAGGCTTGTTTCACAAAATTATTATTAATAGTAACGAGTACAGACCATCATATTTGTTACAAATATTGGTTATCGTAAAAGATAAACGAAAATATACACACG